ATCCAGCACGAACAGCTTGTCACTACAAATAGTTAGCATCATTCCTATGGCCACTTTTCAAAAAGTTAATTAAGAAATTACTCCTTTGAAAATTCGTAAAAAATTGCATTTTGTATCCGATGCCCGATTCGTTCCATGTAGCAACAATACTTAGAATTATTAACAATTAGTTTTGGCGAATTTATATTTTAGAATAACACTCTCAAACTATATCAATATATCCAATTTGATCGTCATTGGCAAAGATAATATCAATCCTCTTCTGTTATGATAAAATTTCAGTATCAATTAATTTTGAAAAACTCAGCGCTGAAAAAAATTTTTCTGATATTTTATAAATTCAATAAATTTTATACAAGAGTGAAAACATAAAATTTAAATAATTAAAAAATAAATGCGATCGGATTGTCTTTAATAAAAAAAAATAAAATGGGAAAGTGAATGCAAAATTTTTTTCTATAAAATTTGTTCATTTCGTTTATTCATTAGCCTGATGAGGATTTCATTAAAATTTCACAATGTTTATTTATCCCCGGCAAGCACGCACCAGCAAGTGGATAATGATGCCGATGAGCATGCAAACACACGCACTATCGTAATTGGAAGTGTTATAATAATCGTTAGCGCTTTTACAACGTTCAAGTTCTTGCTACTGAAATCTGATCAGAAACTATTGTATATGTGCAACAATAAATATGTGCGTACGTGTATGTGTATCTTCTTGCGTAAAATGTATGTGTGTTTGTTTGTATATTTAGATAAAGGTTAAAATATATTAGAAACTTTGGAAACATCAACAAATTTTCAACCATCATTTTAATGAAATTTGTAATTGAAATGTCATTCCATTATGGACATTTTTTACCAACTTCGAAGAACCACGTAGATGGCGAACAACAAGCGTGTTAGTAGTTGAGATAAACGTGCATTTCATTTTTGTATTGGAACACGTTTTGATGTTGATCTACTTTGAAGTCAAGTATAACTTATACCAGAATTCGGTAAAGTTAAGAAAAAGTTGGTACTTGTTTATGTTTTTATCTCAGAAATCATTGTGTCTGTTTAAGATCAACATTACATTAATGAATGTCAATGTGTGTTGTTTTGAAAAATTGGCATAGAAAAAATGGGTTCTTGTTGGTACTTGTGAACTTGAATTATCCTGCCACAAAGACTGTAGAAACGTGCATCTCAATGATCGTTTTCTCCGAGCAAACAAACTTAAAATTTTTGCGCCCGAGAAATGTTTGTAAATAAATAATTCATTTAGCATAATAAAAGCGATAAACAAGGTTCAATATATGGCTGCTTGCACCTAAATAAGGTTAACCGCCGCTACAAATAATTTAACCACGGCATGAGAACAAACATTAAAAGAACAAAGTATAAATATTAGGCATAAATTGTACTTGCTTTCAAAGTAGATCAGGTTATAATTCCTAGAATTAATAAATATTCTAAAATTATTTTGCTGAATGCATTTCCGTCACTAATTTTCTTCAGCTACAGAGTTTTATATTTCAAAAGAGATTTTTGGACTTTTATAAGGCTCGGATGGGATTTACATGTTTGTTGGTGCTAAAAGGCAACTGAAGCAATTTTTCATAATTTCAAAGTATGGATGATTTAGATAAGAAATAGTGTAATATAATTTTGTTTTAAAATGTTTAAAATTAAATTATTACCAAATTTTTAAAACGATTGAAATTTTTTGAAATCTCTTAAACTGTGAAATTTGTAACAAAAAACATTATGTCTAAAAATTGCAAATTGGCCAGCAAATTATGATGGACAAAAGAATAACAGAATTCTCTATTGAAATATAATTGACGATGTAATGTAGTAATTTTCATAAATGACGTCATTGCAACGTAGATGATTTCATCACTTTGTATTGCTTACGTCACACAAAGTAAAAAAGTAAAAAGAACACAAAACAAATGATACACCTACACATACACATAGGTTCTAACCTGTGTGTATGTGTAGGTGTGTGTCTCTCTGTGTGTGTAGCGTGTGTGCGTGTGTGCTGTAGTTGTGTCCATTGTTTTTGCTTTGAAAATATTCCTGCTTCTCTGCAAAAGAAACTGTTCATTACCTGTCGATAATTATGTCAGGTATTGGTTTATTTTTCAGTTTGAATAGGTTTAGTCCTCCTTAACAAGTCAAATTAATTTATATTTGTACTTTGTATAATATTATTTATAAACTGTATTTAGTTAAATGCAAAAATAATATTAGAAAATATTTTCTAAAAAATTATTTAAAGTTACAACAGCCAAAATTTTTTTTCCAATTGGAGATAATTGTCACTGGGGTTGTTAAGAAAATGACAATAAGCCTATGCATCGAAATTATTTACAGGGTTTTTTAAAATTGAATTTTGTTTGGAATTAAGTGAAAAAAGTTTTAACGTGATTGGAAGAAATCTAGGGAGAAAAAATAATGCTGTCGTTGCGTCGTAGAAAAAGAAAACGTTCAAATTAAGGTCCATAACTATGCAGATAAGATGAGGTTTGGATTAAATTTAAGGTTTTATGTTGTTGTTGTTTGTTTGTTCGTTCGTTCATTCGTTTGCTTGTTTGTTTCCTTGATTAGCTTATTTTGTTGTAAGTGCAAGGTCGCTTGGTTTCTTGAATCTTGGTTGCGCAATTTTTGATGTGTGCATCAACTATCGTATCTTTTCTTAGTTAAATTATGCAATTAAATGTATGACTCTATGTGGCTATTTGGGCTATGATGATGAAACAATTTGTTGAAAAGTTGTTAATTGTTTTCTGTTTGCAAATGTTCATTGTTAAACAAGTAATGATAAATCGGCTGACTTGGTCGCTGCATGAGACGTTGCACTGTTTAATAGACTCTAAGTTAAAAACCGATACATGTTTGTCACATGTTGTGCTTCGCTGAATTCAGGTTGTCAGCCGATGTGGAGTAGTATTTATTTTGTGATACGAGGTAAAAGTTCTTGCTTCGAGCTGCAATCTCCCCGGTGGCTTTTCAACTTTATCACACGTAGCGTCTCATGTTTGATACCATAAAAATGGTGTTTAGTACATTCGACGCCGTATATTGCGCCCTCAATTTAATAATTTTTTCACTGAAGTTCTTTTTGGAGAGTTTTTTTTTCAGTTTGATTGAGTTTAGTTCTCTTTAACTACTCTAATTTATTCATATTTAAACTTTGCTTGAAAATATTTAATAAACAATATTCAATTAAATACAAAAATAATACTAAAAAATATTTTCTAAAAATTAGGTTATACTTAGTTACAACAGCCAAAAATATTTTTTTCAGATTGGAGGCAATTGTCACAGGGGTTGTGAAAAAATAATGCTAAGCATAAGCATCGAAACTTTTTCAGTTATTTTTTTCTTAAAAAACGAATTTTGTTTGCAATTGAGTGAAAAAAGTTTTATGTGAATGAGAACATCGACCATCTAACACTTACATGCGATTTTTTAATTCAACTGTTTAATATAATTGCACCAGAGTTTCATGGGCTGACTGACAACCACACTCCATTTACCTTTTCTTGCACGATGTGGATGCTTTAAAAAATTAATTAACCGTTTGATATTTTAATGCGATTCGTTCTTGTAGGAGCATGAGATCAGTGCACCCAAAATGATTTGTAAAGATTGGTGTATTTTTTTATTATTTTGCCTATATAATTGTCCAATTTCATTAAAGTATAGTTCAATTTCAAAACATGAATTGATGTTTTAGAAACTGCTCTCAAATGTTAAAACAAAAAAAATATCAACCTGTGTTTATTAACTGCTCTCTTAAATTAACTCAATCAGAACAATGAGCACACATCTTGTTTTGCGATTCACTTAATAATTTGCTGCAACATACTTGTGGCATGATGTAACTATCGTCTGAACATCTGCATGCTACAAACTTGTGGCATTATTATTATTATTATTATTATTATTATTATTATTATTATTATTGTTATTGGTGTGTATATAAGCGCCCTTTAAAAAGACCTCAGAGGCGCTAACGATTATTGCAGTACGTTGCGTAGCACTTTCAATGCAATGAATGGAGAGAAAAAAATATAACACGGGTAAGCTTGGACAAAGAGAAGGTGTTTCAACCTTTTACGAAACTGAATAACAGACAACGCAGGATCACGAAGGCCCTAGGCAAACCATTCCAGACAGCAGGATCCATTGCGGAAAAATTCCTTCGACTAAAAGCCAAGCTTGTGTCAGGTACAAACAGTAAACCTGAATTGTCAGAGCGCAATGTTTGACTCAGTAGTGGCATTGTTCTAGGAATGACTCTGCCAGTTAAATATTTAGGGGCAACTCCCATGATGTTACTATTTTTAACATTATTGCAATATTTGTGTGTGTTTGGTTCATTTCTTGATATTCTGCATCATTTCCCTTGTCCTGCATATTTTGATTTTGAATGTTTTTCTATAGTCTTACTTTTTAACATATAGGTTTTATACATGTTTGGCTATTTAATCTTATATTCTCTGAGTTTTACTGATTTATACATGCTTAATTGTTTCATTTCTTATTGACAGAGCTGATTGGTTGATATTTGGGTGCATACACTAGTTTACAGGTACATTTTTTTGTATTCTTTTCCCTGTTGATTTGTAATCTTTGATTTTTCACATAAAAAAACCTGTTGAAACAATTTTTTTCAAAGAAACTGATCTTTTTTTATATACTTTTGTCAACGACAAACTAACTGTTATATTATGCAATTTAATTACTCAGGAATGTTCTGAATGGGTTTCGTCGCTGAAAATTATGTAAAAATCTCAATCTAATAAATAAAAAAAATATATGAAAATAAAGAATTCACCCATCAAAAGAAATAAAGGCAAAACTAAAATTAAACAAACCATCTTTGTGAACAAACTTTTCAAGTCAACAAATTTATATACAGCTCAACCAGCTAACACCGATGTTCTGAGGTGGTTCTGAAATTATAACTATTCATCAATATTCATCCACGAAGGAGAAGCGAAATGTTGGCTACCATGAAGAGGTGTGTCTCTGACGTTTCATTACGAAGCTCCTAGATGGGACCAATCCCAGTCACACGTTTCTGCGCGGGGTTTACAAGGAATTAAACAATCACATTCGGGTAAGAATATGTTTACTCACGTAAGTACATGCGCACTTATAAAAACACGGACATAAGTACGTACGTACTTAAATAAATACTTATTTTCCTTCATACTCAATGTATACACTCACTCCTAAACCTGAACGAACCGAGTTGACTGCTAACAATTGATTTGTTGTCATCATACGCGAGTCTCCTGCCTTCTACTGGATAATTTTATTGCGAATTTCCATGCTTATCTCTAATTAGTTATATATTGAAAGGTGAATATTGGGAGGTGTGCACAGTTCAGATTTGAGTGTCTCCTCGTTATTCATGAATGTCTTTGATTGGTCGTCAATGAAAGTCCCCACGTTAATTGTTGTTAACAGGAATGAGTGAGTTGGGACAAAATGTAGTAAGAGTGAATGAGTGAAATGGAATGAGTGAATTAGAATGAGTGAGTTGGGACAAAATGTAGTAAGAGTGAATGAGTGAAATAGAATGAGTGAGTTGGGACATAATGTAGTAAGAGTGAATGAGTGAAATGGAATGAGTGAATTAAAATGAGTGAATTGGAACAAAATGTAGTAAACAACTGAATTGATCAGTTTAAAATAGCTTAACACGTGAAAATAAAAGAAATTTAAACAATTAATCAAATAAACGAACAAGTGGTTTATTCAAAAAATTAATCAAAAATTTGCTTAACCCATTTACTTACCAGCCAAATAATTAATTAGTTAGTTAGTTAATTAACTACTTAATTAATTAATCAATCAATCAATATCAATAACTGACGATCGACAGACACAAAAAATAACCGGTGAACGATTTGATGGATGATTTGCAGAGTGAGATTTGAAATTGGATTGTTAAGTGCTCAAGCTTTCAATCACGGAAGTGGGTGGACATTTCAGGTTGCGAATCTTTGCGAAGTAAAATGTGATAGAATTCATTTCCAATCAAATATTTTTTTACGAATAATTTTTTAAAAATAGTTTAGTCCTGCGTTTTACACAAGTAGGTTGGCGTCTTTGCAAAAAAAAAATGTCTATGTATTGGTTTGGCATGCAAAATTAAATTAAACATCTAACTGTAAAAAAAAGCGTTTAACCCAAATTAAAAACAAAAGCAATTATTCTGATATTTTTGACTCATCTGTGATAAAACTGATCTTTACAACTCATGAAACGAATGACAGCTGATAATTGCCCATCAATTCATGCACTTGCACATGTGCTAACTTCTTTGATCTATTGACGCTGTTGTGGCTGCTGTTACTGCTGCAGTTTTAAAAAAATTCGCCGTTGGAAATGTTGTTTCATTTCATTTTTAGCAGTTTTAAGCTATGTTTTTAAACATGAAAATTTGAAGAACCATTTTTTAAACAATTTAAACTAGTTGAATAAAAAGTTTTAATAACGTTAACAACTAATTAATGACATAAGTACACAGCTTAACAACCCTAACACATGATCAAATATAAAAAATAAGCATGGATCAATTGATGAATTAACAAATGTATTATTATTTTTATTATTGTTATTATTATTGTTGTTATTATTATTATTATTACAAACGACAGCAATGAAACCATCCAATCAATATTTCAACACACGTCAACTTCAACATCTACTCGAAAGCCAATACCCGGAATAAAATTGCCCAAATCATCAACTCAGTGGTCTGAGGCCAACGTATACTTTCAGTTGGAATTTAAATGCTTAGACGCTATCACAGATATCGACAGTTTCGCTAACAGGTTCCAAGAGGCAATCTACTCATATTTTGCTACCAACTGTGGCACTATAAAAATGAAATCAAAACCTGTTGAGCACATAAATCGTGATATTAGGCGTTTAAAAACAAAATTGAGAAATTTAAAATCGTTGGCTCAGATCGACACTCAATTCAACAATGAAATACGTATGCTGAGCAAACAGATTAGGGCAATACTAAAAACCAATAAAATACTAAAAAATGATAACAACAACATTTCTTCTCAACTAAAAAAAAACTTTTGGAAAACATGTAACAACATCTTTTCAAACTCAACTTTGCAGTCTCCACACCTCAGCATCGAAGCTGCCACCAATTTTTTCAAAAACACCTTAAACGCTAGCGATCGCACAACGTTTCGCATCCCTAATTGGATTAATTCACTTCCTGCTCCTTCATTCCAAGGTAATTTGGATCCGCCATCTTATAAAGAAATTACAACAGTTATTCGTAGAAGTAAAGCAATGGCATCTCCATGCCCACTGGACCAAATCTCAATTATTGCCCTCAAAAGATGCCCAATAATAAGGACGTATCTACATAAATTGTTGGTAATGTGTTGGCGCTCAACAACAATTCCACAATGTTGGCGTAGAGAGCTAACAGTTTTAATTTACAAAAAAGGTGGTGCAAGCGACCCAGCAAATTTTCTGCCGATCACACTGCATCCGGTATTCTACAAAATTTTTTCAGCTCTCATAAAATCCAGAATTATACAATTTTTTAGACAAAAACAATTTCATCAACAAAAATATTCAGAAGGGATTCTATCCAAAGATTGATGGGCTAGCCGAACATACACAAATGCTATCCCATCTGTTAAAAAATGCTAAACGACATCAACGCACTATTGTTGTCGCATTGTTGAATCTGATAAATGCTTTTGGAGAAGTAAATCACAACTTCATCACTTCAATTCTAGAATATCATCATGTTCCCCAATCACTTCATAAATTAATATCATCAATATATTCCGACTATTCAATATCAATATCAATCAACGGTGAATTCACGCAAGCAGTACCAGTCAGGAAAGGGGTGCTTCAAGGCGAATCATGTTCACCATTACTTTTCAATATTTGCTTTAATCCACTCATAAAAATTGTAGACAGTCAAGAATACAAACAATATGGCTATCTGTGGGGCCCAACTTCCGACTTAAATGCTAGATCATGGCTACAATTTGCTGACGACTCAGCAATCATAGCACATAGCTCAGAAGGCGCTCAAAAACTTGTTGATTTAAACCAAGCTTGGTGCAATTGGTTAGAGATGAAGATGAAATTCGATAAGTGTTGTTCGTTTGGAATGAGGAAGAAAGATGGTACTTATGAGTAATTTTTGTCAAGATTGACGATCGACGATGTGGCAATCCCTAACGTAGAGATTGGCCAAGCGTTTACATACCTTGGTAAACTGTATGATTTTGAATGCAACGACCTCAAAGCAAAAACTCTGATACAAGCTAAGGTTGTTCAACTGTTGAAAACGACTTCAAGGTTGAAAGTGGACCCACAGCAAAATCTACAAATTTTAAAAAAATTTTTACCTTCTCAATTTAACTTTGAACTCCGCAGCTACAACTTTTCGCTGACATGGATATCAGAAAACCTAGATAATCTGATTGTTAACGCTGTCAGTGAGTGGATAAATATGCCAATCAGCGGTTGTGTGTCTGATCTACTTTCTCTGCCAACAACAATGGGAGGTCATAGATGCATTTCATTAAAAGATGCGACAGAAAAAATGAGACTGAAACTTCGGAACTATTTTAAAACTAATAGCAACAAAGAAATTTAATGTCTCTATATAGAATCAGCGATCGATTTTATCAAAGTAGATAATAAAATAAAATATGGCCAAAATAAAATATGGCCAAATAAAGTCGTCGCTTAGTCATTTGGAAGAAAAAAGAATTGAATGTAGCTTAAATCATGTTTTCTTGGTGCAGAGTCAAGTTTCACTAATTTTAAATATAAAAAATTTTATCAAAGCCAACAACATATCCCGTTGGTCAAAGTCCACAAAAAATCTTACCGGAGTCCTCTACAAATTTGCTAGGAAGGATTTAGTCCAGCAGTTGCCTATTAACGCAAATTTGTTTAGATGGGGTAAAACGCAAAGCCTTCAATGCCCTCTCTGTGATTCTCGACAGACAAATAAGCAGGTAATTTCCAATTGCGGAAAGACACAACAAGATATTAGCCGTGATCATCAATTAGCTGAAAATATCCGCTCCAGCCAATTGCCGCATATTTGCAGATTTAGAGTCTGAGGGTATTCGCCCAATATCTCAATTATTCAAAACTTTACGACCCGATATCGCCATACTTCAAAATAACAAAAATGAGATTCTAGAATTAACTGTGTGCCATGAAACCAATGAATCCTCCAGGCAATACAAGAGAAATAAATACTCTAACAATTTGCATTGTTGTTAAAATAAAGACTATAAACATTGTTCAATAGTTGTAAACTCATTCAAAATAACGCCTATTGGTTTTTACAATAAATTTAATTCGTCACTGTTTAAAGTTCTATGGCCGCTATCATTTAATGATAAATTGATAAACACTGATAAGATTATCGTATGACATTTACTGTGACAGGAACAAGCTATAATGCTAATTAAATATATTTCACCGTTCTGCACTTAACTTGAGCAAAATGGTCTTAACTTTTAATATTATTTTATATAGTTTTTACAAATTTTATCATTGCGCATTATTTAATTAACATTAACTTTTATATATATATATATATATATATATATATATATATATATATATATATATATTTTACAATATTCTATAAATTCTACCGAATGTTTGGCGTTAATATGTAGAATTTATAGAATATTGTAAAAAAATTCTATAAATTCTACCGAATGTTTGGCGTTAATATGTTTGTAGTTCGTTTTTTCGATTTTTCTCACTAAAGTTTTTTGGTGAACGTTTAGTTTATTAAAATTCAATAAGTTTATTTTGAATTTTAATAAACTAAACNG